ATACACTCGGATAATGGTACAGAATTCGTGAATGCATTTGGCACGAAATATAAAGTTTATATATTTTCTTTTATTGACCCGACCATTTATAAAAATTATAAAGTATTGAATATAGAGTAACTTTAGAACATTAACATGTTCAATATAAACTAAGATCAAACATAGGAACCTGAAACACTAAACCATCCCTTCAACTAATCACTGTTCACCAAAGAGCTTTGTAATATAAAGAGTAGGCATTGGGATTTATATGCAAAACCAGACCCCTCAATTGGGTTCCAAAAGAAGCCAAAGAATGTCGTCTTTTCTATAATTTAAAAAGATTTTAGGACTTTTTAAGCATTTCCATCACCAAAAACTTGCGTTTTTTACATAATTTGCCGTTAGAAATGTATAACTTTATAATCTTTTTAGATAAACTTTATTTTAAAACAGACTGCAATGTAATTGGTTTAAAAAATTTGGCTACCTAAAACCAAGATTTTTTCGGGCTTTGCTCACGTTACTGGCATACAATTCTGCTTTAGACTATAACAAAACTATACTTAATGACATTCTAACAAATTTTGTTTTAAAATATGTGGTATTTTTCATACTAATGAGATGCGTAACGAAATCACAATTTTAGCTTTATTTTAGCAGGAGAGCATCCTATCCTATCACTGATTAAAACAAGTTTAGAAGTTTATATCCGTGTCATTATTTTCCAATCATTTTTAGCACCTACAATGATTAATTTATTTGATAACTAGAGTTTTAATGTTGATTGTTTGAACTCAAAACCAATACTATAGCCAATGACGTCATATAAAAGTGTACAGAGTGTACACACTATTCGGATAAATTCCTAATGCCCTATCTTCTACTCAACTTCTACTATTCTATCGTCTTTGACTGTTCACCAATTTGGGTCCATGCTGACCCTCCTGCTATAATCCGCTTAACGTGGTCAAATTTTGACTACTTGATGGGCGCAACAAGATTTTTAAGGGGGGGGGGGGTTGACTTTAAAGAATTAATGCATTTGCCGACTTTGTAGGAATGACTTTTATAATATGCAAGATTGACCCGAGATGTACAAACACCGAAAGAGCATCATAGAAATCACCTTGTTACCTGATCGGGTAAGAATGGATGATACAGCCCCTTTCCAGAATTAGGAATAAGACAACAAAAAACAATAAATCGCTTTTAGATATATTTCTCTGATTTCTGGTGATTTAAACGAGGTGGGTTTTTTCTATTTATAAGTATGTGTAGATATTTCCACCTCTTGGTTTGGTCATCTTTACTAATACAATAGGTTTATCTTATAAGCCTGTCATTATTTTATTTTGTTTAAACAATAAAATTTATTATGAAAATTTACTTTGTTTTACAAGTTAATATTATGAATTATGTTCACTGAAAGAGCTTTAAAGGGAGTGTTCGCGAAAAATGAAAGGGGGTATAGGCTTAATGCGATAAAAAAAGCACTTTTGATCGCTACTAATCTTACTTCTATCTGTTGCGTCTGTAAGAAGAAAATTGTTAAAGACGTCTCATACCGAATAACTAGCGTCCATATACAAATTGAGAAAATTGCAAGATACGACTTAGACCGTAAAAAAATCAATTTAATTTCAAACAAATCATTCAGATAATACAACCTATAGTCATCGATTATCTTTTACCACATTTTTATATAGTTAATTTTTCATAATATTTTTTACTTCTTTTATATACAATGCACTTAAAACAACCATTTTTCCCGCTAGGTGTCTCTCCCACGTGGGATCATTAGAGCATCGAGAGCAGAGACACCTGGCGGACAAACTAATCAGCGTTTTAAGTACAAAATATTATGAAATATAAATTATATGCGAATGCATCGAAAAATAATCAATTACTAAAGGTTGTAATATCTAAATAATTTGTTTGATATTAAATTGATTTTTTTACGATCCAAGTCGTGGATTACAATTTTCTCAATTTGGGAGAATGCTACGTTATTCGGCACAAGTCGTTTTTAACAATTTTCTCCTTATAACCGCAACAGATAAAAGTAAGATTAGTAGCGATCAAAAGCGCTTATTTTTCGCCTTACACCTATACCCCCTTTAATTTTTCGCGAACACTCCCTTTAAACCAGTCTCCGTATTACCTATTGAAAGGTTGATACAGCCCCCTTCCAGGTTTTAGGAATAGGACTACAAAAAACAGAAAATGCCTCCTCACATGGGTACCCCCCTGGAAAAGTAAGCTCTTAAAAGAGACGGTACTCGTCATCATATTTTTCACCTACCAGATATTCTTACCTGTAGTTTGGTCATCTTTACTTATACAACAGGTTTATATTATAATCCTGTCATTATTTTATTTTGTTTATACAATAACATTTATTATGAAAATTTACTTTGTTTTAAAAGTTAATATTTCAATCAAATCTAATTGATGTTTAGTGAGACCTAGCGGTTATTTAAGAAACTAAAATGTATTAAAATTCTTATTGTCCGACCAATCACAGAATAGGATGGTTACTGTAGGCCAATCAGACACTTATTACTTAGTAAGCATGGAGCGACAGGGTCTGGTGAAGAGGAGGGGGAAGGGGTCGGACGGTGGTTGGGGGGAATATGTATTATGTATATAAAAATTTTCGTTCTTTTTACCTTTTTTAATCGTTATTTTTTTCATATGTCACAATCCAAAAAACGTTCCAATAAATAAATAATTCATCATAAAAAGCTGTCATTATTCGCGTTATGAATTTATTTATATATTTGGCATTGCTCCTAGTGAATTACATATAGGTATAAATGATCCATAATAAACAAGAGTCTGTGTTGAACTGTCTATATTTAGATATAGATAGGTGCAGGTAAATAAGTTGACCGCAACTATGGTCAAGTACTTAAAATATCTAGTATTTGAAAGTTGCAAAGACATTATCAAATAGGGTATTGTATTCCATGTAAAAGTCTGGAGTAAGCGTGCATGTCCATTACTACAACATAAATTAACAGATTTCTGTCAATACATTTGTTCTAGGAATTTATAGTTTGGTTTTATTTGTTTTTAAAAAGAAAAAATCTTTATTTTTCCACAGAACTATATGTAGTACAATGATTATTCTTTGTAAAGGAATTAGTCTTTGGCACAATCTCAAATTTTCTAATTCTTATATTTTTGGAATCTGATGGTGTAAAACTTTTATACTTTAAAATTAGATTATTTGATTTGACGTAATCCATAAATTGAAATATATAAGGTTTTCATAATTGGGTTACATAGGAATCCGAAAGACAGAGTAATGGGCAAAGACTCCAACTATCAAGTATCAAGTATAATAATTAGGATTAACTTCTAAACATTTTCATTGAAATTACAGATTTAATCATAAACGTTTTCATTGTATTATAAGGTTGGTATATATTAAACGTGGATCTGAATTAAAATCAATTTATTTAGTAAATTAATTTCCGATGTAGGAGACACCTAGCGTATATTTTAATAACTTTGGTACTTTCAGTATAGATAATTTCAACTCCAACCGGTTTACCTAAAATGAGTCTCATTAACAAATACGTTAGCACAACAAAGGTTTTTAGGGGGGAGGGGGGGGGATGTCTTATTATTATTGCATTTGTAGACATTGTGACTAATGACTACATAGCCTAGTTTAAAAATTCCAAGAGTGAACCGGGGCTTACTGTTACTATAGTATGCACACACTCTGGCAACCTATTAAACAGAAGTAAGCTCATGTTCTATATTGACATAAGAGCTACACAAAGAATGGCTAAAAACAGGAATAACACAATTAATTTGACACACCGCAGGAAGTGGTTCATATTAGTAAGTATGTAAATATTTTCATCCCTTGTTTGGTCATCTTTACTTATACAATAGGTTTATATTATAACCCTGTCATTATTTTATTTTGTTTATACAATAACATTTATTATGAAAATTTACTTTGCACTACAAATTATTATTTAAATCAAAATCTAACCAATGTTTAGTGAGACCTAGCGGTTGTTAAAGAAACTAAAATGTATTAAGATGGTAGTATACTTGTAAATGATTATCAACATAAACAGAAACCATGCATTTATAGCTTCCAGACCATTTAGCATTAATATAATTGAGCATGATTAGATACATAGCTTAATAAAAATACAGATAGAACACTAAATGTCGTCTTTTCAAGATTTAGGTGTTTTTCTTTCACAATAACCCTGAGGCAAAAGCCCAAAGGAGTTAAGCGCATGCTCTCTTTCTGTCTTGTAATTCAATGCAGCCTGGGCGGAACTCCTTTGGGCTTCTGACTCAGGGTTATTGGTATTGGTGTAAACTGCCCCAAAATCAAAATGTTGGTTATATGTCAATATTTCCGTGCGTCTGTGCGTTATTATAGAATCTTTTCTTTTATTTGTGATAATCTTGAATCAAAATAAAATCACACTTGAAAAAAAAATCAGCAATCCATGTTTTTCCTTACGCCAGTGCTTCTTCAATAAAAACTTTGATTTCAATTGAAAAATATCATTTTATTTAGCAAAATAGTGCGTTCTTGCGCCGCGCAAGAACGCATGAAAATGACACTTTGAAAAAAATTCGATAATATATGTGATTTCCTTGCGCCTGTGCGTTTTCAGTCACATCTTTCAGCTTTGTTAAAAACTTTGATTTCAATTGAAAAATATCATTTTATTTAGCAAAATAGTGCGTTCTTGCGCCGCGCAAGAACGCATGAAAATGACACTTGGAAAAAAATTCGATAATGTATGTCATTTCCTTGCGCCTGTGCGTTTTCAGTCACATCTTTCAGCTTTGTTAAAAAGTTTGATTTCAATTGAAAAATATCATTTTATTTAGCAAAATAGTGCGTTCCTGCGCCACGCAAGAACACATGAAAATGACACTTGAAAAAAAAATCGATATCTCACTCCTTCGTGTATATTTTCAACATGTCTCTTTAGATGACTTGCTATAATTGCCACATATTCACATTGCAATCATGGATATCTCACACCTTTGTGTTTACTTTCATCATGATATTTCAGAGCAGCTGCTGTAGTTGCAGCATACTCACATGGAGGACAAAGATATCTTACTCCTTTATGTTTACTTTCAACATGTTTCTTCAGCTGAGTTGCTCGAGTTGCGGCATATTCACATTGCGAACATGGATATCTTACTCCTTTATGTTTACTTTCATCATGTCTCTTCAGATACCTTGCTGTTGTTGCAGCATAATCACATTGCGTACATGGGTATCTCACTCCTTCATGTTTACTTTCAACATGAATTTTAAGATCACCTGTTGTAGTTGCGGCATACTCACATTGAGGGCAAGGATATCTCACTCCTTCATGTTTCTTCAGAGCACCTGCTGTAATTGCGACATACTCACATTGGGAACATGGATATCTTACTCCTTCGTGTATACTTTCAAAATGAATCTTTAAAGCACCTGCATGAGATGCAACATAATCACATTGAGAACATGAATATCTACCTCCTCTCGTACGTAAACCTGGGGGTCGCGGGGTGCAATTCAAACTGCCCTTAAACTATTTGTCATGGCCGCCGGGGTCTCCGTAATAAGGGGAAAGTTTCTGTATTCCATGTATTACCTGTAATCCCTGTATTCCCTGGATTATTTGTATCACTTATATTACCTGTAATCCCTGTATTCTCTGTATTACCTGTATTACCTCTATTCACTGTAATCTCTTTATTCCCTGTATTCTCTGTATTCTCTGTATTCTCTGTATTCCCTGTATTCCCTTTATTCCCTGTATCCTGTATTCCCTGTATTCCCTGTATTTCCTGTATTCTCTGTATTCCCTGTATTCCCTGTATTCCCTGTATTCCCTGTATTCCCTGTATTTCCTGTATTTCCTGTATTCTCTGTATTCCTTGTAATCCCTTTATTCCCTGTATTACCTGTATTCTCTGTATTCCCTGTCTTCCCTGTCTTCCCTGTATTCCCTGTATTCCCTGTATTCCCTGTATTCCCTGTATTCCCTGTATTTCCTGTATTCTCTGTATTCCTTGTAATCCCTTTATTCTCTGTATTTCCTGTATTCTCTGTATTCCCTGTCTTCCTTGTTATTTCTGTAAATCCTGTCTTCTGCAATTTCCATATTTTTCTCTTTATATCACAAAAATGATTAAGAAAAACACCCCCACACTTTATTATGAAGTGCTGAATACGCCCCTTCTGCTTACGTGACATTTTTTACCCACGTATGTTAAGCACCGCTTCTTAGGTGCGTGTGAGTGAACACTCGTACACACGCACCTAAGAACCGTCATCTTAGCTGCGTGTGTACTCCATTTTAAAGATAAGCACTCTGCTTAGCTTGAAAGTGAGTAATTTAAAGGTAGCGTTTAAAGGTAAGGCAGAGAATACGGTTAAGAACCAATTTTTTTGAGCAAATGTATAGGCTAAGAGCCAAAGACATAAACATTACTCCTATGTACATACTTGCCTAACCATCTTACTCTTAACAATTAATCAGGCACGCTTCACTAGGAGGAAAGTAAATTCTGTGACATTTCTTGTACGACTTTGCCACCTCGTAGCTCTTCTAATTTTGATTTTACGCTCAACCATTAGATAAGCAAAATTATTAGGTTACATATTAAAAATTCAATCATTTTGATCTATTCTAAAGCTCTTCAATGAGAAAAGTTATGATTGAAAACATGTCAAATTTCTATTTAACGTGAAATTTACGTGGAAGGGCTCGGTGATATAAAGTATCAGTTGTAAAGACGATCCCGATTTCTTTCAGAACTAGATATAGAATGTAAAAAATAAAGAAATTTGAGAAATATTTATTTAAAATGAAGAAAAATAAACATACAAAATTTTAGAAACGGAAATATTAGAAATTTACAACAAAATATAATTTAATAATTCATAAATGTAAAAATCTGCGACTACTTTAAAAATTAGCCTCGAAAAAAATGTATATTTGAATATTAAAATATTATCAAAAATGCATTGTGAAGTATTCATTTTTGTAAGAAAAAATTGCAAGAAATTTTTTTTATCAGATTTTCATGAATTTAAAAAACTTTACTGGAGTGTTTGTTGCTATAAAATGTGTTTATCTAATACTTCTTCCAAAGTTTTTGAATAAGCAGAGTAAAAAAAAACATTTTGAAAAAATATGTAGATGCCTAAACCAGTAAGCTATGAGGGTATGAATTAATTTTTTCGGTGGGTTTATTAATAACTTGATGGAGTAAGAACATTAAAGATTTTCATCTAATTATCAAGAATAAATTTCAAAATATACAGAATATATAAAATATATTAATATGTTTTAAGATATCTAAAATATAATGTGAAATTGCCACTGCAGAATATACTCTACTATGAACAGTGTACACTCTACTATGAACAGTGTACACTCTACTATGAACAGTGTACACTCTACTATGAACAGTGTACACTCTACTATGAACAGAGTACACTCTACTATGAAAAGTGTACAAGACACATAAATTGTTTACTATACTCTATACAGTCCAACGATATTTTTTTTCCATTGACATGCATCTACTAGGGTTGTTTGTCAGGGTAGAGATCGTTCAGGCTAGGTAATTATCGTCAACACGTTTAAATGTTGGTCAAAATATGTCCATTCAAGGTTGTGATCGTCAAATTGGTATAGGATCGTTCAAAACAATTAGAGATTGTCATAACTGGAGTGATAGGCCGAACTGGTAAATGATCGTCAATACTGGTTTACAATTTAAATATTTTTAGAAGGAAAAAAGTCAGTAAAACTGATGGCTTTAAAAAAAGAACATTAAATGGTTTAAAAGGAAAATCTTGACAATGATTGCCAAGGCTGAATATTCAGTAAATCTACAAGAAAGATGGTTGTTAGCGGTCCAAAATTGAATTATAAACGTCAAAAACAATGAACTTGGGTAACAAAATAAAATTAACGATAGTCGAGATCATTGAAATGGGTTTAATATCCTTCCAATTGAAAAAGATTGATTTAAGTGGCCATAATGATAGTCTTATTTTAATTTAAATATCATTAAAACTTTGCTTGTGGATTAGATACACCCCGTGCCAAACAAAACCCAACTATCGCATCAATTCGTACTTCGAAAACCAAGTTAGCCGCCATTTTGTGATAAAACCACATGGCATTCACATTTGATATCTTTCAAACTTGAAAAACGGTATAATTTGGCAAGAAGTTGTACTTTGAGAGGAGAAAGTATAAAAAGTAAATTAAGTAAATGTTTGAATGACAAATTTTGATTCTACAAGATTGTATGAAGAGAGGGAAATTCTGGATGAATGTGTAAAAAGGGGAAGATTCTGGAAGATTTTAAGAAGATTTGAAGATTATGAGAAGATTCTGGAAGAAGATTTGAAGATTATGTGAAGAGTGGAAGATGGTTAAAGTCGAACCCACGTTTCCCCTTCACTGCAAAGTATATGTAGATGAGATGATATCCTCCTGAATAAAAACAATTATCAAAATAATAAAACAATAAAAAAATTCGAGATTTCTTTCTGATTTCGCAGTTAGGTTCCTCTTTTTAAATTAAGTTTCCTACGTAGAATTAAAGTTTATGTTCAGAAATTAAGTTTCCTAGTTTGAAATTTAGTTTTCTACTTAGAAAATCAAGTTTCCTACATTCAAATTAAGCTTTCAACTTACAAATTTAGTTTTCTATTTTGAAATAAATTTTCCTATTTTGAAATTAAGTTTCCTACTTTGAAATTAAGTTTCCTACTTTGAAATTAAGTTTCCTTCTTTGAAATTAAGGTTCTTACTTATAAATTTAGTTTTCAAATTTGAAATAAATTATCCTACTTTGAAATTTAAGTTTCCTATTCTGAGATTAAGGTTCCTACTTTGAATCAATTTCAGCTTCTTACTTTAAATTAAGTTTCCTGCTTTGAATTCAAACACAAATGAAATTAAAATCGAAATATTTCTTTATTCTATTTTTCCATGCCCCCAAAAGAATGTCCCCTCAAGTTCCCCATGAATCTGAAAAAAAACCCTTTAAACTAATATTGAAAAACACAAGAAAAAATAACAAAAAAGAAATGGTAAAACCAGTTAAAAACTATCTAAATGCAACAAGATTAATGCTATGAAAATGTTTTTATTTAAGTCTAAGATAGGAGTCCTTAATATTAACTATTTATTTTTTTCAAAATTGGATTTTTGTTGATAATTTGTTTCCTGGGAGAAAGCAGATGAATCCAGCGATTAAAAAAATAAATCCTTGAACTCCCTCCAGGGATGGAAAACAGTAGATTATAATTCCAGTAAGTAACAAACCTAAAATACAAACATTTTAATTATAAAAACTAGTAACTGTTATTGTGGTCACATTTGTTTAAATCCAATTGTTTTTTTTTTACAAAGAGAGATGCTTAAACCCGTCAAACAAACAGTTCTTCTTTGCTGTTTATGGACAGGTGTTGGGAATTATCAGAAACTGAAAACTTGGAAAATAAAAACATTTTAATAAGAAGAACATTTTTTGAACGAGATTGTGATTGGTACTATTTGTGTAGATACGATTTTTTTAACAAAGAGAGATTGCTCAAACCCGCCTAACTAATCACTTCTTATTTGCTGTTATAGGATGCTCCCACCAGTAGCTTTCCTGTAATATTCATGATAAGAGCAGAAAATCTTAGGATGCTCCCACCAGTAGGTTTCCTGCAATATTCATGATTAGAGCAGCAAAACCTTAGGATGCTCCCGCAAGTAGGTTTCCTGTAATATTCATTATTAGAGCAGCAAACCTTAGGAGGCTCCCAGCAATAGCGTTCCTGTAATAATCATTAAAATATTTTAAAGATTAATCAAAAGGTATTTATACGTATATAAATGGTATAATTAAAATTTGTTTAAATTCTTTTGAATATAAAGTTTTTCAAAAATATGCAAAATCTTTCAAAAAATTAGATATTAATAATTGCTCACAAAACATATCCATCATTTCAGTAATCAATTCATTTTTGAATCCTTCAACATATAAATTGTTTAGTCTTGTACAAAATCTGAAATTTCCATTCATGCATGACATCAAAATATTTCAATTTCATAACTAAAGCTTTACTGAGATCAGACATATTTCATATTTACAAAACAATCAATATATATTTCTGCCGAAAACGTGTCTTAGTCATTAATTCATAAGTTGGAAAGTAATATAATTAGAATTTAGAACTTGGGTATCATTAAAAAAAGACAGAAAAAATAATTAGGTTTTCATTCCACAATATTACTTTAAGGACTATTGAATAATAAATATTTATCAAGTGTACAATGTACATTTCTTATTTTTTTTATAAAACCTATGAAAATTCATCATTTAAAATGTTGTGTTGATTTTAGTGCAAACCACAACCAAGTTGTATGCAAAATCTATACTTTTTCTATGAATTGTCCTATACTATGTAATATAAAAGACAAGAGCACATGAAGAATTGATGAGAATGAAAAATTAAAAAATTTCACCTGTGAGGTAGAATCAAAGTATCCTGAACTTTGTCCTTGTATTAAGGAGTTACTGTCTATAGATCCATTCTAAATATAGGGATTGTTACTGTCTATAGATCTACTCTAAATATAGGGGTTGTTACTGTTTATAGATCCATTCTAAATATTGGGATTGCTACTGTCTATAGATCCATTCTAAACATAGGGATTGTTACTGTCTATAGATCCGTTCTATATAGAGGGATTGTTACTGTCTATACATCCATTCTAAAAATAGGGATTGTTTCTGTCTATAAATCTATTCTAAAAATAGGGATTGTTTCTGTCTATAAATCTATTCTAAAAGTAGGGATTGTTACTGTCTATAGATCCATTCTAAATAAAGGGGTTACTGTCATAGATCCATTCTAAATAAATGGATTGTTACTGTCTATAGATCTACTCTAAATATAGGGATTGTTACTGTTTATAGATCCATTATAAAAATAGGGATTGTTACTGTCTATAGATCTATTCTATATGTAGGGATTATTATTGTTTATAGATCCATTATAAATGTAGGGATTGTTACTGTCTATAGATTCATTCTAAATATATAGGTTTTTACTGTCTAGAAGTCCAGGGATTGATACTGTCTAAAAAACTACTAAAAAGTGAAATATGTTGAAAGAGTTTAACTTACATCATCCCTTGATTTAAGTCCTCTCAGGGAAGGATTGAGAAGCATCGAATTCTTCATAATACTTTTAGGAGGTTTATTGGTCGTCTGGAACCCTTCAGCCTTATCATTTTCTTCATCTCCTTCTAATAATTTTAACATTCTTTTAGATTTCAGAATAATCTTCTAATGCAGTGGTCGGCGTTTATATCAATACAATGAAGACGATTTTTCAATTTAAGTTTTGATTCTAACAAGCTTTTATTAAATTACAAATTTACAAGTAAACAAATAACTGCTAATTGACAGCTTGGTTAGAGTCCGTTATTTCTATAACTTAAAATGGTCGATCAGATGACGTCTCTTTCGTATGAATTATTTATCTATCATATAAGAATTCATCGTGAGACATCTAGTGGCCAAACTATCGTCCCCCTAAGTACATCTTATGGACGGTCTATGGTTAAACGTTATTAGGGACAGAATGTGCCCTGTTATAATTCAAATACTGATATCGAAAGTCGTCTTCATTTTATTGATAAATAAGACTAAGACTGTAGTAAGACTTGAGCTGGGGAACTTGAGTTTTGGATCTACAGCTTGGTTGAGAATATCTAGAGGTAGCTGTAGATTTCAGTTGAACTCATAATCTTTATAATGTCTCGATTCCTTAGCTGATATTCAGGGGTTTATATTTTCATGAAAAATCATTCCCCTCCCCTCTCTGTTAAAAATGATGTTTTCCCCAGAAGTTTGGTATGTGTCTTTAGAATAGAAACACCCCTGCTGAGATTTTTAGAGAAAACCTGGTTTTAGCGTCTATTTAAACCAAAGTTTATCTCAAGTTAAGACTCGAATTTTAGCTAAGTCTTGGATTCAGGACTTGAGACAAGTATATCACCTGTATTCCNAGATTTTTAGAGAAAACCTGGTTTTAGCGTCTATTTAAACCAAAGTTTATCTCAAGTTAAGACTCGAATTTTAGCTAAGTCTTGGATTCAGGACTTGAGACAAGTATATCAGAATTTTAAACTTTAATAAACATAGCTCTATTTTTTAGTTGGAATATCTTTGACGGGGGCGCATTCAGGAATTCGTCCAGGGGGGCGGCTGAAATATTTTTCTGTCCATGGGGGCTCAGCACCTGTTGGTGCACAAAAAATCCAGTAAATCATAAATTTCAATGACCCAGAGGTTGGCTGAGCCCCCGTAGCCCTTCCCCCTCAAGACGACCCTGATCTTGGAATTAACCTCAACCAAGTCCTATTTTAACAATGGAAAACATAAACAACTGATGAATTACCTAGATTTTTTTCATCCTCTTCGGAGAAAACAAGTTGTAGAGGCGAGGATTCAGAGTTATACAATCGAATCTAGCAGAAATTTGGATTTATAATTTATAATCATAAAAAATATAACCATTTCTTTTCTTATAGTTCTATCAGGGCATGTGATAACCCTTAAATTTTAAAACTGAATTTTCAAAATTTTTAGATTTTTAAGTATTTTGACGTTTTTGAGCTCTTTAGTTGAAAAATCTTACTTTATCCTCTTCGCTCTCCTCGAATGCATCGTCTATGGTGAATCCACCTTTTCGCGCCATTTTTCCGTCGCTAGGTCGGGCCGAGCATTCTGTAAAACACAACGGTACAGTACACAGTACAGTTCTATATAAATATCAAGTAAACACTGTACATAAACTCAAAAAAAAGTAATTTAACATGATCACGGTGCTACGTATAAATAGAAATAATGATAGAATGGAAAAACTTTCATAATATCAAACCATTTACGGAATTTGAAAGAATTTTTAAAATGACAATGAAAATTAATTTTGTTGAACTTCTCTGAAAATCATTTAGAGTTCAAAAAAGATTTTTTAATAAAAAAGTGATTTTAATCACGAATTTAGCCAAGAAAATTGATATTCAATGCATCACATTCAACTGCACGGTGCCCATATCATTGATAGATTGGCCTTTCAAAAGGTAAGAATAAACAGAATGGCTTACACTGAACAGGATTGCACAGTAAAAGGAAATTAAATCAATTTGTTAAAATGCTACGAATGTATCACAGAGAACTAGGCCCAGGCTTAGTGTTATGTTAATTTAATAAGAAAATTTTGAATTAAAAATCTAATAAATTTTGATATTATTCTTTATCTTTCTTTTTACTCTCGGGAGCGCCGACTGAATCGGCGGCGGTCGTATTTATCGTTGAAGCAGGCTTATCAGAATCAGCGGCGTGCGCATCTTTGTCGTCCGACTTAGAACCATGGACGGTTTCAGAGCTTACAACGGGCTTAGGATCATCAGCGGGCTTGGGATCTTCGACGATCTTTGAACCATCTTCTGACTTTTTAACCTCTGCAGGTTTTGGAACACCAGCATAGTTTGAATCCGCTTTGGATTTCTCTTCAGCTTGATTTAAGTTTTTGTCCGAATTATCTTCAGCGGAATCATCAGCAGATACTGTTTCTGCAGAGTTATCTACAGCTTCGTCAGATGCAGGGACTGTAGGATTGGTGTTTTCTCCGGGATCTGCATCTTTCTCCACAGTAGCAGGTGATCCAGTTGATAACTCTCCAATGTTCGACTAAAACAAAATGTCCAAATAATTATAAGAGAAGACTTATTTTGTTAAAAACTAAGAAAAAATTTACTAAAAATATTAATACCACAAAAACATACTGCTAAATTCTTCAATTTTTCATTTTAAATGCGATGCATGAACGACGCACGAAGGAGTGGTACTTTCACAGTAACAGAAAACATAAAATGGTAATTTTGGCATTTCTTCTAGAGCTTTTATATTTATTTTCTTCTTTAGATTTTGTTGTTTTGTTTCAAGTTTTGTTCAATACCAGATTCTGATCTGTTTCCATACCAGACTGTAGTACCTGTAACAGAGCTGCAGGATCTGGTAAAGTTTCGTTCTGCGTCTGATTAAGTTTGGCATCCTCAGGCACCGGAACTATGATAGAGGAAGCGGAAGCCTGACAAAAAAACCACTATCTAATTAAACAATTAATTACTCTGTACATAAAAACAAGGATGAATAAATGAATGGATGAATGAATGCTCTCCCCCTTAATAAATAAATAAGTGATCACCCCTGAACGAATAAATGAATAATTACCCCTGATTGGATAAATACCCCTAAATGAATGTAAGGATGATTACCAGGATAAATAAATGAATTATTACCCCAGAATGGATAAATAAATGATTATTCCTAAATGTATGAATGAATGATTACCTCTGAATGGATGAATGAGTGATTACCCCTATATGGATGAATGTATATTACCCCTGAATGGATGAATTAATGATTACCCCTGAATGGATGAATGAATGATTACCCCTGAATAAATAAATGAATGATTACCCCTGAATGGAAAAAGTACAGCATGAACCCTGTAGCGAGGAGAAAGTGAAGGGAGAGGATGACAATTATAACGATTCCGGCGCTCTTCGCCGCGTTCTCTCTGATGGCCGGCCACACCTTAACATTAAATACAGTTCAAATTTTAACTTAAGATAGAAACTTTTGTCTTGGTAACCTTTTTAAAGGGACTATTGTTGTAATTTGAAATGACCCTCCCTTTAAAGAGAGGTATGCCCATTGCCCAATTCTCAATGGTACCCTTGATCCATAATCTGAGAAATTAAATTAAATGGACATATTCTCTACTTCTGACATTTTCCTCCATTGTTGCTGCAACAGAAATCCGCAAGTATTTTAGAGGAACAACAACAACTAAGAAACTCATTCATAATTAATTAGACTAAGCTTATAAGGATACCAGATTAAAAATCCTTAATTGGTATGCTAAAAACATATCACTTATTTAATGTGCTATTGAAGTTTCTGTAGTAGTTATCAGTTCAAGCAATGAAGAATCCTTTTTTTAATACAAAAATGTCTCCAAGAAAATAATTAAGAATTTAAAAATTCGAAATCACATGAATAACGCTCTAAAACGCCGATGCACTAACATTTTATAGTTAACAGAGTTAACAAGAAGCAGATTTTTGATCTAATTTATTCTATTCCCTTTTAACGAAAGATAACATTGTTTGGAAAATATTTATGCTATTTTTTTATCCTGCCTCGCCTCAAGGAAGTACTTCATCATGTAAGGAATCGGCCAGGTTGGACCGGACTTAACTTCTGCCGGGTGCATTACTTATACTCCGTCGGCGGTTTGGTTCTCTCAAGATGGGGAGACTTTCAGATTCTTTACTCGTATAGCGCGTATAGACATTAGTTTACGAATTTAAGTAAAATTGTTTATTGAGATTAACTAACCGTTGTAAAGAGCACAGCTCCGGATAGTGAAGCACCAACTAGAACTAGAACCCACTGTAACCAACCAACCTGGATAAATATTCTTAAAGGGACTGTAACCGTATTTTCAAGTGACCTTCCTCCATGTAAAGATGCCAGATTCACAACGGTACCTTTGAAACCTTTGTCTGATCAATATTGTCATTTTTATAGGCTTTACGTGTTGAAATCTGATAATTCCTTTAAGTTTACTGCAGTAAAAATGCGCAAAACACTTTCAGTAAAAATGCGCAAAACACTTTTGTGGAAAAACTACAATTGAAAACGATTAGTCTTCAAAATTAAAAACATGGATATCTAATTTATACTTGATTACTGATTAGACAAAGCTTTCATGGGTACCCTTGTGAATTGGGCAATGCAATCGTTTAAATCACGCTTACAGTCCCTTTCACAATTTCAAAATGTTTAATCAAATCAAATCAAATCATTTATTTCTGCAGAAATAATAAATCAAAACTGTTATTAACAAAACATTAGTAAATTAAAAAGTACTGCAGTAGAAGAGCTTTAATAAACTTAATGTTTGGTTTTATTCGTCAAATTTGTTCATTTTTCATTCTATCCCTTGCTAAATCTTGTATTTAAACCTTCTTCTGTCAAGTTTAGTCTAAAAATAGTCTTTATTTATTTTTAAATTTTTCTTGTCCTTTGGTCAATTTTGATCCTTGGCCAATCTTGTTAATTGGTATTTTATTTTTCCCTGATCAAATTAGTTCCTACGTCAATCTTGTTCCTTGGTCACTGTTTCTTGGTGAATTTTGATCATAAGTAAATTTTGTTCCTTGGTCATTCTTGTTCCAAATGCTCATTGGATAATATATATGATAAAAATCTCGTTTCTTGGTCAATCTTGTTCCACATGCTCATTGGATAATAGATATGATATAAATCTTGTTCCTTGGTCAATCTTGTTCCACATGCTCATTGGATATTTTCAAATCAAATAAATCATGTTTCTTGGTCAATCTTGTTCCACATGCTCATGGGAAAATATATATGATATAAATCTTGTTCCTTGGTCAATCTTGTTCAACATGCTCATTGGATAATATCAAATCAAATAAATCTCGTTTCTTGGTCAATCTTGTTCCACATGCTCATTGGATAATATATATGATGCAAATCTTGTTTCTTGGTCAATCTTGTTCCACATGCTCATTGGATAATATAAATGAAATAAATCATGTTTCTTGGTCAATCTTGTTCCACATGTTCATTGGATAAAATATATGATGTAAATCTTGCTTCTTGGTCAATCTTGTTCCACATACTCATGGATAATATTGGTTTCTTGGTCAATTTGGACCAAGCTTGGTTATTGTAGTCACAGTTAAATTTTTTCTTCTTAGTCATATATTTTTTTAGTTTATCTGATCTCCTATTCATCATATTCCTTCGACAAGCCTTTTTTTTGTAAATCCTGTTTCTTTTTTAATCCTTTATATTATTCGATGTTATTTCTTTTTCAATCCTTTTCCATTTCCTTATTCAGTTCTATTTCTTGGTACTTTCTTTATCTGTCAAATCAAATCCTTTATCAATCTAATTCCTAAATTAAATTTTTACCTTGACGCAGAGTAACCAGAGTAGAGAGATAGGTATATAGATGGTCACACTGTAACCATACAGACAAAGCTAAATAAATAATAAATATTTGAATTTGTATACTAAAAAGTACATAATTAGTTGGTCGCATTTCTGAGTTACAAATTTGTTTTAGTTATTAAAAACATATGCTCTGAAGCTGAACAAGTATTAGAATCACACTAAATCATTAAAATCGAAATCACCCCCACCCTTAATTTAGAGGAGTTTATTTTTTTAATCTCGATTTTTTGGAGAAAAGTATATTAACGATAGTGACATTCCCCCCCTCCCATCCCACTTCCTTAAGCTTCGAATATAGGAAATGATAGAATAATCATTGTAAATCTATATAATAAAGCTCTTCGCTCATGTATATATGTTTGCATATATATTTATATGTTTGCTGTAGCTAACCAAATGGCTGGACCAAAATATTGGCTTCAGGAAACCCATGAATACTCCAGGTTGTTACCAATAAGTATCAAAAAGTACCCCCCCCCCCTCCCTGAGTCTAAAACTTGAAATAAATGTTACTACTAACCAGTTCTAAGAAAGATATAGTGATGGTACCGCCCTGTCCTGCCCACCACAGGTATCCGTACAGGCAGGCCGGGATTAAACCAGCGTAGGAGAATACAGCTGTAGAGGCCAGGGTCACCTTCATAGTTGACAAATGTAAAACTAGATTATTGAGATTTAGGCATCCGGTCCTCTTCAGATAGGGACCGAATCTATTTTTTTATTTGGCACCTAAATTTCCCATTAATTTGAATTATTATATGTTATTAAATGATAACTACGTGCCATTTTTATTACGCTGTAAGTAAAGAAATTCAACAGAAGTCAAAGAACTGACCTTGTGGAAATCGTAGTGCCAGCTAGCTTGGCCGGTCAGTGAGGTTGACAGGTAATCTGCCAGGTTACCGGAGATAGCAATAGAAAAAATCAAGGTCACGCAGATCCAGAACGGTCCATACAGATCAGGTTTAGGACGGATGTGATGTTGCAGGAACGATCTGAACAAAAACAGGCTTAAGGGTTAGTCTATATTTATATAATAAGTAGTAATCTCTATCTGTTTGTTTGTTTGTATGTCCTATCATAACTCAAAATTTGATTCGAAACTCGACCGAACCCCGGTTATGTTCTAAGCCTAGTTTAAAAGTTATAAGTTGAGGGTTGATTTTTTGGGAAAACTTAGTTTCCACGCAAAGCTAGGTTCCCAAACTAAGGTTATTTAAAATAGATCCATATTGCGCACTTAGTGTGTTCACTTAAATATAAAAAAGCGTCAGAATAATCCTAAACATTATAAACTAAGTGAACTTTATGACGAAAAGCTAAATTCAAAATTGATTTCTCCATTTTGGGAAAATGTATTAAAATTCATGTTTAACTAGAAAGCTTCAAATAATAAAACGATTCTCTTTAAACGGGGAAAATAATATACAGTCAGAGCCAGGAATCTCTGGAGAAGACTTTTAGTCTCACAGTATGACTTAAAAAAAAGATGAGCATCAGACACAGCAATTGTGCAGTGTAAACAGACCTCATAATCTTGATAAGCGATTTAATAAGTAACTAGTAAAACGCTTTACTTTGAAACATCAAATACAGAAAAGTATTGCTATAATGTCGTCTTCCATCGTTTTCTGGTTCTCACTATATATTGTAAAGATAATATATGATTTACTTACTTTCCGGGGATAGGCAGCATAGAATAAAGGAGACGTGAGAGGACATCTTTATCCTCAACATCAAAACACTGCTGGTAGTAGGATATACTCCAGAAATTGGCGGAACCTGGCCCAGATCCGGGCTCCGCCTCTCCGCCCTCGCCTACAGGTAGGATCAATTATCATTAAACATAAATAGAAAGAAACGGCGGAACCTGATCGAGATCCAGGCTCCGCTTCTCCACCCTCGCCTACAGGTAGATTCAATTATCATTAGCCATAAATATATAGAATTGGCCGAACCTGACCAATGCAATTAATATTAGCTGGTTCTCCGCCCTCGCCTAGTAGATTCAATTAATATTAGACAAAAATAGATAGAATTGACAGAACCTGACCCAGATCCAGGCTCCCCCTCTCCGCCTTCGCTTACAGGTTATATAGGTTATATTGGACAATATGTAGAAGAGACAGGATGAAATACATGATATAGGTCGGAAAATCATTGGATCAGAATAAAAGAAGGTCTGTGTCTGCAAGGGTTAATTTCATACTTCTTTGTATCTTACTTAAAATAATTATTCATTAAAAACCAACCTGTAGATGAAGGTTGAGGGGCAGGGGTAGAGCTAGTTAGACCAGAGCTTGCACCCTGAAACATTGAACATTTTTAAATTTTTCTTCTTTTCATTAAAATCTTTAGTCTAATTTCATCGGAAAACTTTGTAAATATGTCTGATTGCATAGTTTTGTTCAAATCATATTGAAAAAGTACCATCTTTATTCATTTGCCAATCCTGCGTATTTACCCAACAAAAGCAGCAAAATCGACAAAATAAAATATTTAGGATATGACGGTGCTATCGGTAACATATAAAAAATAGTTTTGAACATTTTGTTCACCATAGCAAAATATCAAGACAAAACAACGACGAATATCAAAACGAATTATTAAAACGAAAAACGAAAGTTTTGGAAATCTATAAAAACAAAAAAAAAGCAATCAACCACTATTCCGTAAAAGTCAGGGCTGAGCACTACCTGTGTAGAATAATCATGTGAGCTGAACTGTAAATCCTCATCCCCTAGTTCCAGAACAGCATGCTTATCCGCCATTTTTCTGTAAATTTAAAAAATATATATAGTATTTTAAAACATAAAATCTTCTGAGAGATTCACAGGACAGATCAACTGGGTTTAAACTGAGATGAAAATGTAACAAGTTTGAACGGTAATAATTTTCTAACTATCTATATAAAAATAATATAATTGTGAGCAATTTGACACATCGTTTACATAACAAAAATAATCCCTGTAAGGTAGTTCAGATCTAGTAAAAGGCAATTGCATAAGAACTAATACAAAAATGTACAGTACAAGAGTATAAAAGGCCGAACATAAAGCCAACAAACTCTCTTTTAAAAATGAAATTCAAATTCAAATTTAAAATAAATAACCTTTATCACAGACGAGCTGCATCTAATGCATAACATCACCCGTTTAGAAACTTTTAAGATTTTATAAATGTAAAAGGCCTTTACAAAGTTTTCCACTGCAAAGTAAACTATTGTTAGAATGTACAGCGGGACCCATGAAACTGAGGAACAGGAAGATGACGGTAAGACTCAAATTATGATCTAAAATAGTCCAATAAACATAAAACACAGCAATTTGACAATGGTCACAGTGTACACACACCCTGTGACTTTTAAATTGATTTTCAAGCAATGGTAAAGCTTCACATCAACGATCAAATGTTAACAAATGTCGTCGTCATACACCCCATTTTTATGAGCCCTACTGTATCAAACCTAAATATAATGTAAAACTCAAATTTGAAGATTATGAAATAGATAATTCATATAAAACTGATCTAGAGAATTATGAGCCTTTTCTTCGACGTCTTATTAAGATAACTTTAGCTTATAAAAAGTGAGAAATAAACCTAAAAATACCCTTTTTAAGCTGATTAAGATGTTACATTCATGAAAAGAAGATAAGGCTAACTAAGTATCGACTACAGAAATGCATAAATTGAGCAACTATTTTACAGGCTCTGCCATCACAGATTGAGCCTTCGCCTCTTTGAGAATCGGCTCCGCCCCTTTAGATATAAGAAGCTCCGCCAGTTCTCGACCGCATAGCTCCGCCCCGGAAAGTATCTCCGCCTCTATTTGGTTGGCGGAAATTCCGACATAAGACCGTTGTTTCAGAGCATCAGTAGAATTCTTAAAAAATCATGAAAAGTTTACTTGGTCCATTTATTTAAAAGAATGTTGCTTGAATGTGTGGGTTCCAATAACGTCGAAACCTAACAGGGCCAAAATTTTGTTTGTATAATTGTGCGTAATTTCAATAGACCCTCAATGCGACAATATCTGATTAACAACGGTACCCTTTACAGATCTGTCTGATCAAGTATGAATTAGACTTGCGCATTTCTACTGTAGGAGAAAATATAGAAATCATCAGAATCAAAAACTTTAAAACCCAGAAAAGTGACAATATTTTCCACAATATTGATCAGATAAATATTTCAAGGCTACCGTTGTAAATTGGGCATTGTCTCATGTTAGCATGGAGGATCTTGGTTCCAGTCCCATAAATTTTTATCTCTGATTACCTTAAACACGACGGAATTTGTACCAGAGACACTCTTCGTTCCGTCAATAGACCAAACCCCACCATCCAGGGATATACCCGCCTCTGTCACCCTTGAAGTTACCGCCACAGGTACTGAGCAACCGCCTTCAAGCACGCGCAGAAAGGATCTCTCCGCCACTGTGCGCAAAACTGTTTCTCTAAACAAATAAATGTAAAAAAAGATTGAGATGCAAATAATCAATGAGGCTATGAAAAAGTAAATAGATAAAAAATAAAAGATCAAAACATAATCTATAATCATTAATTATTACACTTTCTTCCTACGCAAAATATACTATAATTTAAAGCTATAGTATGATATTATCCTTGTACTCCGAGAGGAGTACTAGAATAATATTGACATGAACATGAACATGAACATGAACATGAACATAATCATAAGCACAATTTATACAAACATAAGCACAGACACAGACATAGACGTAAACATAACCATAAGCATAAGGCGAAGGCATTACTTTTACAAGCTTTTAGTTTTAATTTGGATGCATGTCTACAGTTCTGATCAAATATTTTGTACTTCTCTCTACTAAAAGAATTTGGATAAATGTCTTCAGTTCTGATCAAATATTTTGAACTTCTCTTTACTATAAGAATTTGTATACCTATGATGAAGAGATGAGAGAAGGTTTAAAGTTTCTACATCTCCTTCTCTACACTCTACTCCTACAAACATTTAAAAATTAGAAAAACAAAAAACCTAAGATTTATCAGGTAAAAACCTTCTTGGAAACCCTAAACCACTTTAAGGCCACAGTGAAAACACGTTGACATTTGCATGGGGCATTTATTTTGCATACAACGGCATTTTGTATGCAATTCCTTTCACCAGTAAATAAAAAAAATAAGAACTTAAGATTATAATAATAAAAGATAAAAAATATAAAATGTTACCAATAAGACGTTTTCCGATAAGCATAAAATCTATTATTATTATTAATTTCTGTACATTATTCAAATTAAATATAAATAAAAACATCTTACCTAAAGCTCCCTGTCCTACAGCATGCATACAAGAACTAGGTTCTAGATATTCACTAATCCTGTCTATCCAACCCATCCTGAAAAAAAATACAATTTTGAAAAATATTCTGCATTTCAAAAATCTTATTTTTTAAATTATTTTTAATATTATCTTAAATAGTAAAATACATATTAATAAGTAGGTCCACGGCTTTTTTTCTCACTTACTAAGATGTATTAATCTTCCTTGATAGCACAGGCACATCTAGGATAATTGCTGCTTAGACTCCGTTCTTGTATTTACCTTGATATCCAAGCTACAGCTAGAATAATTGCTGCGTAGACTTTGTCCTTGTATTTACCTTGATATCTCAGCTACAGCTAGAATAATTGCTGCGTAGACTTCGTCCTAGTATTTACCTTGATATCTCAGCTACAGCTAGAATAATTGCTGCGTAGACTCCACCCTAGTATTTACCTTGATATCCCAGCTACAGCTAGAATAATTGCTGCGTAGACTCCGTCCTTGTATTCACCTTGATATCCAAGCTACAGCTAGAATAATTGCTGCGTAGACTCCTTCCTTGTATTCACCTTGATATCCCAGCCACAGCTAGAATAATTGCTGTGTAGACTCCGTCCTAGTATTTACCTTGATATCTCAGCTACAGCTAGAATAATTGCTGCGTAGACTCCGTCCTAGTATTTACCTTGATATCCCAGCTACAGCTAGAATAATTGCTGCGTAGACTCCGTCCTTGTATTCACCTTGATATCCAAGCTACAGCTAGAATAATTGCTGCGTAGACTCCTTCCTTGTATTCACCTTGATATCCCAGCCACAGCTAGAATAATTGCTGTGTAGACTCCGTCCTAGTATTTACCTTAATATCTCAGCTACAGCTAGAATAATTGCTGCGTAGACTCCGTCCTAGTATTTACCTTGATATCCAAGCTACAGCTAGAATAATTGCTGCGTAGACTCCTTCCTTGTATTCACCTTGATATCCCAGCCACAGCTAGAATAATTGCTGTGTAGACTCCGTCCTAGTATTTACCTTAATATCTCAGCTACAGCTAGAATAATTGCTGCGTAGACTCCGTCCTAGTATTTACCTTGATATCCCAGCTACAGCTAGAATAATTGCTGCGTAGACTCCGTCCTTGTATTCACCTTGATATCCAAGCTACAGCTAGAATAATTGCTGCGTAGACTCCTTCCTTGTATTCACCTTGATATTCCAGCTACAGCTAGAATAATTGCTGCCCGTTCTTGTATTCACCTTGATATTCCAGCTACAGCTAGAATAATTGCTGCGTAGACTCCATCCTTATCGTCTAGTTTCCTCAACCGTGTATTCAGATTACCACGAATATCCTGAATAATTTAGTAATTTTGACCAAGACTCGAGTCAATCCAAGACCCATGCACGACCACACCAAGACCAAGAAAAAACCAAGACACAGAAAAAAAAACCAAGCAAAGATCTAGACAAGACCAAACCAAGACAAAGACAAGACCAAACCAAGCCATATCCTAGACAAAACCAAGCCATATCCTAGACCAAAATACAATCCTTCAAAGATAATAGTATTTAGAGGGATGCTAACCTGAAATTTAAGCTGTGGAAAGTTGAGCTTGAGCTGAGCAGACCGCCTTAACGAACTTGTGCCTACGAAAATGCATTTCTTAAGCCTGTTAAACAAACAATTTAGATATTAGTCTTTGTGCGTTATTTCGTGGATAAATCCCCCCCCCTCTCATTTAGTATATTTATAAGATTTAAAGAAATGTATTCCTATGACAGCCCCGGGGGGAAGGTCAGCTAAGCAGGAGAATGCTGATCCTTGCTTCATCACAACAGCATCTCTAGTAACCCAGCTTTCATTCAAAATATCAAATAACAGGTTTCTTTAGATTTAGGGATTGCACAATGCACAAGGGTGATCGATGGAAATGCCCGCTTTAATTCAAAGCAGTGGATCCGCTTTTGAGGATCCGGATCCAGGAAACCAAAATCTTGTGGATCCAACGGATCCGGATCCTAAGCACTGATTCAGAGCAAAATAAGTTCTTCATCATTGAATTTTAAATTTTCTCAAGAGTTTAAACTGAAACATTCTTTCATAGTCATTTTTTACTTTACACAAATAAATACTGATAGAACAAGGAGAAAGGGGGCATTATTTTCCAAGATAAAAACCATAGATAAAGATAGATTGCTCATAAGACGACATTTTTCAACTTTCCAGATATAAATGTACAGAGATGTTAAAAATGTTTTCCAACTTATAGATTACCTATGTTGGTTTGGAACATTCCTGGATAAAGTGTAAATTAACTCCAGGAATGGAATTATTTGAAGAACAATATTTTCAGGAGCAATATTTAGGGGGTTGGGGTGGGGAAGAGTAGAGCTGAAAACTTTAGAATGGGATATCCTTAATCCCGATCGGTAAATGTAGATTTTCAAAGTATCTTTCAATGAAAATATCCCGGCGGGATTAAATGAAAATTGTTGCATACCAAAAAAACAGCTTTTTATAAAGGAATGTGCTTTGCAAAAATGAAATCATTAGTGATTTACTATAATCATGAAATCCATTAAAACAACAACGACCCCGCTTGTCATTGAAGTCAAATCAAATCAAATCATGCTGTTAGGGACGTCCTACACTCTCACACCAAAATTGAAGTAAACTTTGACCCCTAGAAGTGTGATTTCACGGACTATACAATTCTGGGTGTTTGTGCGTACATAAGCTATCAGTATCTATGTTATTTATTCATCTATGAAAAAAAAACCCGACATATATAACATGGAGATCTGTAGACTGTAGGGAAAACAACTAGGCTGGGGGGGGGGGGGGTTGCAGTAACTCGGAAATAAAAGCTGTAAATTCCTTGGATCTTCTCTTTCCAGAACAGAGCCAATAACCATTCCTTCGGGTAGAATAGTCGGCAAATCCTGAAATAAGATCTTCTATTTGTATCAACAACCCTTTTTGTACATTAATAGTAATAATAGACAGGAAGCATCAAAGTAGAAAGGAAATTGTAAAACATACTAGACAAACAAAAAAAAGAATCAAAATTGTGAGAAAAAATGATAAAGATTTCGTTACAGCAACCGTGTATATGACATTATGTCTACCACTTTGATTTTAACTTATAAAAAAAACTCTTTTACCTTTAAAGAATGTACGACAAAATCTACTTCCTTCTTCTCTAATGCAATCTCTAGTTCCTTTGTAAACAAGGACTTCTCTCCTATCTTCGAGAGAGCAACGTCAAGAACCTGGAATAATTATTAATTTTTACAGCGTGGGTATTTATTCTCCAAAAATACCCCCCCCCCCC